CAGGTCGACCACCTGAAGTTGGCGCCCTCCCGAAGTCGGCGCCCATGCAGTGGCTCCCTGTGCAGGTCGACCAACCTCGTCGACCAGCTTGCCCACTGCTGCAGGTCGGCTGCACCCTACACCCGACCACGAAGTCGGCTCCGCCCAAGCGAGGACGGGGCCAACATACAACTCCTGAACCTGCCTTAGAGTTCGGGTCAAACACCTTAGTGTTCTACCCTAACTTATAGGTTTTAGAAAAAAACAAAAAGTTAAAGTCCGAATGTTCAACTTCGGTGTGTCAAAGGTGCATGTTTGAATGTGTTCGCGACAAACGGGTTCGAGTTCGATCGTTCGGAACTAAATTAGTAGATCTCACGTAAAAATCAAGATTTGGGTGGGGGTATGAGCTATGGGCTGAAGATTGGTGCTACGGTTGGGCTGTACTCAATGTCGAAATCAGTGCTGTGACGAGTGGTAAGCGGTGGCGAGGTGGTTGCCAATTCTCATTTCAACAAACTTGTTGGGGAGAATGTGGGAGTTCCTGTCTTTGCTCGGTCAGTGACAAAATTGCCGATCTGCAAAGATTGAATCGCCAGTCTCTGCAAATCGGTGGGCAAAAGCGAGTATCCCGACCCGCCTCCTGGTCAGCCCGATCCGGGCCCGGGTCCTATCGACCCACCCACCTCTATAAGACCGGGTTGGGTCGGGATTCTGGATTATTGTACCGGGGGGGAACCTGCCCGACCCAGACCCGGTCAGGTCAGGCCAGATCGGAACGGGTCGGGCGGGGTCAGGCCGATTGCTCATGCCTACTCAACCCCAGTGCCGTGATCCTTCTGCCATGGCTTCTGGACCACCTCTTTATACCCCCTTTATTTTCTACATCTCGTTTTTCCAGTGGCCAATCCAGCCCTAGCCCATGATCCTTCTTTGTGAAGCAACACTAGCCACTGTGCAATAGAAATTAATCACCTGGCAATTCAAATAATCATTTCTCATACCTAGTTCATGATTCGAGAACGATGATATATAAGGCAAGTAGTATCAACAACCATCTCTGTTGGTTGCCCGACCCAGTGTTGGTGGTCAGGCCAGCCCAACCAACAAGCCTTGGTTCCTTGCCACCAGCAGCTCTTTCCCCTCCTTCCCACCAGCAGATATCTCCCCTTCTTGCCACGAACATCTCTCTCCCCTCGTTGACACCAACAGCTCTCTCCGCTCCAACATGCTGTTAGGATCCTTGCCCTCCTCGATAACAGGGCTCTCAGCAGTTTCAAAATTGTGAGGGGTCAAATGGTTTGCTAGAAATGCGGTTTCTCCCGACTCTTCTGGTCAAACTTACTATTACTTTGACCTCTGATTGAGCCCTGACTGTGTCAGTGAAGAGGTACGTCCAAAAGTAGGAAGTACGGTGTTGTCATTCTGCTACACTGAGCAAGGTGCATGAAAGTGGAAGGTGCATAAGCGTGGAAGGCGTATGAGAATGGAAGGTGCATAAGAGTGGAAGGCGTATGAGAGTGGAAGTGCTCCTGTGAGTGCTCAAGTCGCCCACAGTCAAGAAACGCCCCCTCTAGTGAACCCGCGATTCTACGAACTGGAGACGCGATTTCCAAGATGGAGTTGCGTTTCCAATGTTGTAATTCGTGGCTCAAGGCTCGAGCTGCATCCCCAAAGTTGGGAAATTTGCTAAGGTGCCCTAAAGCTGAATAAGGGGTGGTTAGAAACTGATCTGCAAACACAATTAATCTTGCCAGTTCGAACGGGAAACAGATCTGCAAGTACAAATTTCACAAATCCATCCCCCCCCCCCCCCCCCCCCCCCCCACCTCCTCTCTCCCCTCTCCAGTGTCGAAATCGAGTAATCCAGTACTCGTATATTCGCGAGTAAAAAATTACTCGCAAGAAACGTAACGTAATTACTCGTAAAACGCTTACGGAAACAAGTAAATTGCAAGTACCTCGATAAAATACTCCACTCGACAAAATCGAGAAATTTCTCGGAAACATCTTACAAAATACTCAACTCGTTGCGCATGTCTACTGTAGTTCATTGTATGGATGTGTTTGTTGTGTTGGGTATGCTACCAGAGCAGTGTTCTGCATGCGTGCCCTCTTTGTAACTTGTATGTGCACGTGCACGCAGGTTTTTACAGAGCAATCATTTGAGTGGAAGGATTCCTGACTCTCTTGGGGAACTCTCCCAACTACAGTACCTGTAAGCTCACGCGCGGCTGCAATTCTGGCCCTCACACCATGTCCTTGGTCAATCCTAAATCTATGGCATTTATAGGAAATCATGCCTTTGCAAAATGCATCTAGCATGCGAGCACCAGTGTGGCTTCTTGGTGCTTTGTCTTATGGCATTGGCGTGAACCTCGTTTGTCGTGTACCGCTGGAGACACTTCCACCAGGCAGCAAATCAATCTAGCAAGTTAATATCGCGACTGAATTTAGAAGGTGAATTTAGCGATTGAATGTAGCAAGTGAATCTGGTAAAGGAATTTCTCTAATGAGTCCTGCACGTAATTTTAGCGTGTGAAACTAGAAATTGAATCTAGCGAAGAAATCCAGCAAGTGTATCTTTTAAGGGAATTAAGTAAGAGAATCAAGTGAATCAAGCACATGAATCTAGAAGAACTGATGGCGAGTGAACCTAGCAAGTGAATCTAGTATGTGAGTTTAGCAAGTGAATCCAGCACGTGAATCCAGTAAGTAAATCTAGCGACCGAATCTAGCATGTCAATTTAGCATGTGAGTATTGCACAATTCTTCTATATCACCACCAAGCCTCTCCTCTGGCCACGGTTCGTGTCTGCTCAGCCCTTCAATCTCCTCTCACTCACCTATCCAACTTGGTCTCCATACCTCCTCATTCTCCCCTTCTATCTTTCTGGTCACCCTCCTCTAACATTTTTCCATCTCCCCACCATGGCCATCAGGTCTCTTGCCTTTAACGAGCTGTATGGGAGCATACCGAGCACTATCACCAAGCTCACACAGCTCATATACTTGTACGACCCACACACTACCTCACTCCTTTCCGCATGCTCTGGCATTCTCCCTCTCGTACGCACTCAACAAGTCATGCACCCATGCTCACTGTTCTCTCAAAATCATGCTGTGAGCGAGCCAACAGCAGCACCAGCCGTGCCATGAATGCTTTCTGGTCACAAGGATCAGGAAAACAAAAACAGTTTTAAGCAGAGAGGCGGAATTCCTCAAGTGAGGGTAATGAACACTGAACACTAACAAAAACAAAACAAAATGTATTAATTTCTTGAATGTGTGCCAATTGGAATCCAGGTGACTGGTTCTGGTAGATATGAGCACTTTTCCAAACCTTAAGCACATTCGGGTCAAACATGTAATACCCCTTTCTTTTGTAAAAAAGGTTCGCCCAAAAATGTTTGGGGTTCGCCCCAAACATGTTCAGTGTTCGAAAAGTTCTATGGGGAAAATTCCTGAACAACAAACATGTTCTGAAAGTTTCCCCGCTTTTCCGAACATTAGATGTTCGGAAAAAAAAAAACAAAAACAACAAAAAAAACATCGTGACATTTGTTGCGCTGGTTGGATGTAAGTCCTACGGAAAGCATAGATCGAGGTCATTTCGACCTTGATCTATGATTTTAGGTTAAGTACACAGCAGTAAGGAGTACTAGGCTCATTTGCAGCCCATTTGCACCCAACTTAACGGTTGCTTATGGTAACTTAGGTTAATTAGTCGTTACTTAGTCGTTTTCTAAAACTGTTGCTTTGTTGTGAGTTTCCCACTCGCCCTGCCCTCTTCCCCCATGTTCCCCACCCCCTAAACATGTATGGGCAGGTGTTGTACTTAATTGCATGAAACCTGTTAATTCACAGAATCTGCGAAGTCTTTATTTTCACACACCAAGCATGTTCGGAATTCGCCGAATATGTCGATGTTCGGCGAACAGTGAACATGTTCGCCCACACTAACCAAACACCAAACATGCAAAGGGTGAAAATAATGTTCGGGCCAACCGAACATGTTTGGATTGCCGTATTAAACTGTTCGGGGACGTTCGGGCAAACGCGTTTGGTTTTTGCTCGTTGCTCATGTCTTTTACGAAGTCGCTCGTAGCTCATGTCTTAAACTGTTACTTTTGGTGTTCGCCCGTTGCTCATGTCTAGGTTCTGGGACGTGCCAACCAAGCATGTACTATAGTGTTTATTGTGGAAACTGACTTTAACATCATTACGTGAATGCTCGTGGTTGCCATGCTTGTGGCCTTGAAATATTCTCCACCTCGACATCCTTTGGGTGGATTCCTCATCGTCTCCCTTCACCGCCTACTTCCCCATCTCAGCCCACCATTTCCTGATATGCCTCTTCTTCCTCTTCACGTCAATGCGTCAATACGATTATATGGATTTCGCCTGCATCCTACTTATTTACCTCCTGTTCCCCCTCGGCTCCGCTTCTCATACTCCTTGTTTTCCTTTTATGCTTTCCCGTGTCCGTCCTCTTCTCCTCCCTCATTCATACACATGCTACTCATCAACCCCTCACACCTTCCCTCCTTGGACTCCACTTTTCCAAGCCTGGATGCAATGAGGTGATCTCCATACGTCTTTCTCTCGGCACCTGCCCCTCCCCACTGCAGCGACCTCTCCCACAACTACCTCACAGGACCTGCAGTGATGCCTCTTGCTGCACGCATCCTAGATCTCTCCAGTAACTTCCTCTCGGGCCCTCTGCCCGACGGGGCATGCCAGCCTCTCTCTTTTGATGCCAACTGCTTCGCGCTGCCACTTGGCTGCACCTTGGTCACGCAGCGGCAGGAGGCAGCATGCAATGCATTCTGTGGCGTCTCCTCTGCTGCTGGTGCTGCTGCTGCGTGTGGAGGGCATGGGGTGTGCTATCCAGAGGGGGCTAGCTTGGCACCCACATGTCTATGTGAAGAGAAATCCGTGTGGTCTGGAGAGATTGGCTGTGTTCCTCAAGGTAGGGTAGCCCACTTGAAATCGATGAAGCATTACCACGCATTAACAGAATGGTGGGACTTCTAGCAGGTTATCTGAATGGAAGCTTTTTGAATGGAAGCTTGTTTGTCATTTGTTGGTTTCATACGCCTTAAATGAATCTCATCTCACGCCCTCCATATCCCACTTTTTTTCATCCGTCTGTTTCATATTTGCAGGCCAGAACAGGAGTTACTCAAGCAGCCAGCCGGTTCTCCCGCCAGAGTCTCTGCTCACCAAGGGGACGCAGCGCGAGACAAGGGGGAACTTCACCGCAGCGCCGGTGACGTTGTTTGTGTACGAGGCAGGGCAGGCGGCGTTGGGGTGTGGGCTGCAGCTCGCCTTCCACGCCAACTTCACCTTCTCCCTCTCGCCTCGATCTGGCCGCGTGGGCTTCAACGGCTTTGCATTTGTCGTCTCGGCAACGGACCGGGTGGGGAGCGGCGGCGGTGTGGGGTATGGTGGAATGGACAAACGGAGTGTGGCGGTTGAGTTTGACACTCGGCAAGACAAGTAGCACGGCGACATGAGCAGCCAGCATGTGGGGCTGAACGTTCGAGGCGAGGACAGGTCGCTAGCCGCTGTGAGGTCGCCCTTCCCTCTGAGCAACACGAAGGCGTTCACGGCGTGGGTGGACTATGAGCCGGGGGACCCCGGCACCATCCAGGTCTTCCTGGCTGACTCGCAGGCGAAGCCGCAGGAGGCACTGCTGGAGAGGAGGCTGGCGCTGTGTGAGGTGCTGCAGGGTGCAGCCGAGCAGCCCGCCTTCTTCTTTGGCTTTGTGGCGTCCACCACTGTGAAGCCGTTCCAGCGGCACGTCATTCTTGAATCCACAGTGGATACGGGTAAGCAGTTTGTGCTGGAAGGGGAATGAGCTTGTTATGGTGGTTATCAATACTGGAGGAGCGGTCTGGACGATGTGAAGGAGGTGGCAACGAGACTGGGGAGTGGATGGTGACGATGGGGGTGGTGCTGGTGAAGATGAGGGCAGTGCTGGTGAAGATGAACGCAGTGCTGGTGAAGATGAGGGTAGTGCTGGTGCTTATGAGGGGGGTATTGATGGATGGTGTGTTCAATATATTCAATCTGAAAGTGGATGGACGGTTTGTTCAATACATTCAATCTGAAAGTGACTGTAAATATGAGTCATACGATCTCTGAATCTTACAAGGCATTTTTCTTCGCTTTGATTGCTTTGTTGCTTCTCAGCCCTTCCTGCTCCTTCCCGACCTGTCACAAGTAATCCAGGTGAGACATCGTCTCCCATGCTTCTGCTGCGACTCTTGCAACTACCTCTGTTATAAGGACAAAGAGGCAAGCGTTGTGACTGCCTGTTATAATCTTCTTAAAATCTGTACAGATGTTTACTCCAAGTTTGTTTATCAAAAAAAAAACTCTCCTTACCTTCTCTTACTTTTTTAAGATTCTTCGTTTTGAATGTGCATGCATTTAGTAGATTAGGTGCAAGCAAGAAGAATAGATAGCCTACACAATGTGGTTGATGGTGCTGAGCACAGTGCACCTAAATCCCGAGCAAACTGGTCCTAGACAGATGGTGACGAAACTGAGCAACAATGTTTATGCTATACCGATTTAGGAAAACGTTTTCTTTGTGGGAGGCCTGAACCGCGCATGATTGAGGTATCAGTAATGGTGCATCAGCACTCAACAGAGTGAGCGTTTGGTGGGTGTGAAATGGATGCAAAATGGCCACATGAGATGCAGATGTGATCAGATATGGGGTGCAGCCCAGCAATGAAAGGGCAATGCACCCCATCTCATTCTATTCATTATCCCCCTTCAAGATCTTCTTGTTTAACAACTTATTTACTTCACATCCCATTCATTTCTCCGTACTGCAACTCCCGAGCACGTCCCAGCCTATGGCCTGCAGCTATCAACGAACACGTACATGCCAGCATGGGCCAGCCCCTTCCCGCGCTACGTGAGTGCGGACTACCGAGTGGCGCCCAGCAAGCAGGACTCATGGGTCATCAGCGAATTCCATTCGTGGGATGCCGTGCCATTCCTTGGCTGGCCTGTTAAGGACCAGAAAGACTGCAGTGAGTGAAATCATTGGGGAACCTGGAGAATTATGCTAGAGCCGATAGCTTGGTACGTGTGTCTTCGTTGGTTGCTACTGTCTGCATGTTTCCGTTTGCTGTTTTTCTGCTGGTCACTTTCATGTTTCAACTAGACGTGAACCCCTATTCGACTCGGCGCAATCATCTAAAAGCTGTTTTTTTTTTTTGGGGGGGGGGGGGGGGGGGGGGGGGGGGGGGGGGGGGGGGGGGGGGGGGGGGGGGGGATTTTTTCAACCGAACATGTAAGTGTTCGGCAAGAAATGTTCCACCCAAACATGATGGAAGTGTTCCGGGTTAACATGTTCAAGTGTTTGATTGCTGGTGTCGAGGCATGTGGAACTTCAAGCATGTTGGAGTGTTTAAAGTGTCGAGTGTTCAAGCAGGTGGAGGATGAAGTCCGACATCACTGGAAGGGAGGCTCTCAATGAGCAGGACCTGGACGGGGCTGTGGAGGGGAGTTGGGGGGCTGTGGAGTGGGGGAGGGATGTGGAGGGGGGTTGGAGAGCTGTGGAGTTGGGGGGGAGGGGGTACGGAGGAGGGGGGAGGACTGCTTGAACCGAACGCGTTCATGTTCGCATCGAAAACAAAACTGTTCACCCCCATAGGCGAACATCGAACACCACATTTTGGAAATGGTGTTTCACTCGAACCCGAACATGTTTGGTTCGTGTTGGACAAGTGTTTGAAAGTGTCTCAAACACGTTTGAGTTCGCCCATTGCTCACATCTAGTTTCAATTAGCGTACCATGCTTGTTGCAATACGTGTTTCCATCATTCTTCAGCCATCGTCTCAACAGCTTCAATTCTCTATGAAACTGTTTTCATCATACCCAGGTGCTTGTTGGGCGTTTGCGCTGGTGGCGAGCGTGGAAGCTGCATACGGCATTGCAACGAATGCAGAGGCGCCGCAGCTGTCAGTGGAGTCACTCTTTGCAGCCATGGGGCTCACCTCCGAAGTTGACAAGTGCAGCACGGGGGGCTCCCCCACCGAGGCGTTTGAAAGGCTTCTCATGCTGCCGCGCGGTGGAATCACCGAGGCTGGATCGGCTGTGAGTAGTGTGATGATGTGAAAGACTAGAATGTATAGATTTTCATGAAAGATTTGGGAACTTTCAGTGGTGTGCCTGATGTTAAGAGAGTCGTGAATGTACTACAACTGGTGATATGAGGACTCTCTCTGAGTCGTTGAAGGCACTGTCACAGGTTGCAACTTATAACAGATTTGATCTAACGTCCTGTTAGCATACAAGCGCACCTAAATTTTGATACATAAAAATGAATTGGTTGGGTCGGGGCCAAGAGGCACGTTGTGGCAGCAAGAGGCAAACAGGTAATACCAGGCATGATCAAGGTTCGGCCGAGCCAGAAGAGGGCCGAGCCAGACTTATAATTCCATGAAACATTCAGAGAGAAGCGTATATGAACACGCTTTGTATATTCTAATCATTTTGTGATGCACTCTTCATTCTACTCCTTGCTATGATTGGCCACTTTCATTTTCAGCAAGCAAACTTTCGTTCTTCATGGTGAACTCCTTCGATGTTTCTTTCTCTTCCTTCCTATCTGTTATAAAATCCATTCTAATATATTCATCTACAGAAAAAGGTGTACCCAATTCATGGCTTTGAGCGCACGAGGTTCAAGGGGTTTGTGGGGCTCATGCTGGCAGTGCGACGACAGCCAGTGGTGGTTCACATTGAGGCTTCTTCTCTGGATTTTGCACAATATGATGGGGTGGGAATTTCTTGCGTTGATCCTTCATGCTGTCCACAAGTTATCAAGAGTTGTACAGAAGTTGTTACCCAAATTAGCTGTATCCCTAGAAACCAATCCAGAGTTGTATAGAAGTTGTTACCCGCTTTAAGCCATATGCTTGAAGTGCTTGTTTGTTGTTTGTTGTGGTGCCTCCTTTCTCTTCAGACCTTCAAGTACCAGGATCCTGGCTGCTATACCGGCAAACTCAACCACGTCGTACTCGTTGTTGGCTATTTCGTCTTGAGAAATGACGGGAGCCAAAATCGCATCGCGCCTCCGTTTTGGATTCTCCGCAACTCGTAGGGAGTGGAGTGGGGCGACCGGGGCCACATGCGCATGGACATTCAGGGAGGGGATGGCGTGTGTGGCATCAACGTGCTGCCTGGCATCTACCCCATAGTCAAGAGTGAGACATCTATTCCATTGTCAAAAGTGAGGCATCTACCTTGTGGTCTTGAGTGGGGCAGCTTCCCCCACTCGCTCCCCATGTGGCAATCCCCCCCTTTGAGTACATCACATGGTCAACTATATTTGGCCACGGTGAAATTCAAAGAACAAGCATTTAGTCATAGTCTAGAGAAAGGCCTTATTTTTTTTGCCATAAAATAGAATGGGGAAGAGGCACCGTCATTTGAGAGAAGGGAGTGTGCGCCAATGGTTACCACAGAGTTGTAAGATGGTCAATCACAAAGTTTATAAGCTGTTCCATATTTCACATGTCATTTTGTTAAGGCTTGTCTTTTCTTGCTCACAGTCGTTACCAATGAATCTGCATACGCATCTGCTCTACTCCTGTTCTCGTCTGTACCACCCCCTAGTCCCCAAGGACCCTTGCGGCCAGAGGAGCTTCAAGGGCGATGGTGACTTGCAGCCTAGCATGAACCCGTGTGGGCGATTCACATGCCGGGTTAACCTACGAAACAACAGCAACTCGTGTGACTGTTCCATTCCCAATGAATCTAAGCAGCCATTTGTTCAAGTTGCAAACGGATATGGCTCCCAAACGTGTGCTTACTGTACGTCGTTCAGTTCAGGTTCTCAAATGATAACTTCGATCCATAACCATTGTCAGAACAATGGGCTTGTTTTATCTTCAGATATTCTTTCAACTAAGCCCCTGTCTACATCCTTTTTGAGTTCTATCCCTCCCTCCAATAGCTCCCTTCACTCTCCCATTGCTCTCAACGCATGTATCTCTCTCAACGCTGTGCTCCACAATTGTGTTTGTGTTGCTTGGCAGTGGACGTGTGTGGGTCTGACTTAAAGAACCCCTGCTACGTGGGAGCATGCATCAACGATGGCAAGGGCTCCTACTCCTGCATCTGCCCTCCCAACTACGTTGCCAGCACAACAATTGATAACTTCCCCACCTGCGACCCAGGTGCTGCTGCCTTGCCTTCGTTTGTAGGAGGGTCACTGCTTCTTTTGCTTATCCTTGCATGACATGTTGGGGTCGTCGCCACCCCCGCGAACTACTTCCACTGTCCACCCATGTGATGCACACACAACTAATAGGTTTGTTTTGGGTGTGTTCTCCTGCTTTCATACCCATCCTTCCCAGCCAACGTCACAGCCAGCACCCTGGCAGTGAGTGGGAGCAACTGGTGGTGCTCCGATGTTCTCTCTATTGTGGGCCTCTCACTTGCCCAATTCACACAGCAGAATGTGGTAAGCAGTGGAGATGGAGAGGCTGGAAGAGTGGAGAGGCAGGTAGGGATAGTTGTAGAATAAAAAAAACATTTATCGCATATTCGTGAAGATGTTGGTTCCACAGAAAAGAATTGTACACCCCATTGTTTTATCTTCAACGGGTCAAATGAAGTCGATCAGAGAAAATAAATATTGCTACACCTACACGCACCTCCCTCGGTCCATTTACTTGCCGACCCATCATGCAAACAGTATGCCACCCTATGAATGGTTGATTCAAAAGAGTCTGTGCTCCTCACTGCAGGGCATTGACTGCAATCATGCATTGCCTCGTAACGTGGTGCTTCAGCTGGGAAGTCCTCTCCTCGTTCCCTGCACTGCGTTCTTCTACACCCTCAGTGTGAGAATTAACCCTTTTATTTTTTCTTTGTTGTATGGAATCTCATCAAATGTTTCCTCTAGACTGTTGCAGAGTATGGCTGCGCCCCATTCACCTCAGGCTCCTGTGAATTCTCTCCCGTTGCTCCAACCTCCAGGGCGACACATGCTGGTCCATCAGCGCCCAGCTGTTCCTCACCACCAGCAACCTCACGGCACTCAATCCCGGCATCGACTGCTCTGAGCCCATCAAGGCAGGCCGCTCTCTGTGCATCGAGCGCAACGCCACCTTCGCTTACACTGTGCCTCGGTGCCTGCAAAACGGCGTGCTTACAGCACAGGACACGTGTGAGCGTCTGCTGCTGCAGGTGGCGGGGAGTGAGGACGACCCAATGGGGGATGCGAAGGAGAATGCTATGCGCTGGGCTGAGCTGTACCGCAACAATCCTGGCCTCATCTGCTCGAGTGTCATCCCGGTCTCCGCCTCTGCTGTTGGCAGCAGCACTGGTGTGCAGGTGAGGGGTGGATGGGAACCGGTTTGGGGGCACAAGAGATGGGAAGGATATGGAGGGAAAATTGGTGGGTGAGCCGAACGTATGTTTGATGGGTGAGGGGGCAAGGAGTCACTTCCCATATGCTAGAAAGTGGTTTTCCACCTTTTTGCCCTTCATTGCTTGTTGAGTGCATGGATTTTTCTTACTCTCAATGCATGTTGTTTTATTTGTTGTGTTGACACCGTTTCAGATATGCCTAAGAGCAGAATATTGGCCATTTGTTGTTGGCATATGCAAGAAAGGCAGGCAAAAACCCGTGTCACCGTCACTGACATGCTCGGGTGCTTACAGTTTCTATGGTGGAGTTGCGAATGGAGCAATTTCAAAATATTATATGTACAATGAGAAGAAGTGTGTTGGTAGTGTAGGGTCCAAGTTCATTTGTGTGCCATGATTTCTGTTGGTTATAGACTTAGGGTTCGTAAGATATACTGCACTGTCATAAATCTGATGCATAATTAATGCCTTTTTCTCAAAATAATACCTTTTTCCTAGGAACCCTGATTTTTCAGAGTTGTTGGATGTTCAAACATGAATACCGTATTCTCCCGGACAAAACACCCCCCCATGATAGAGCACCCCCGGGTAGCTTGTGCGGGGTGGGTGCTATGGGCGACCTCGTTTCCACTCTACCCCCCTTTTTGGCTGATTTTCTATAACACCCTCCTTTTCTTACGGATTCGTTATTATAGTCGTTAACGAGTAGCTGCAATACGGAAGAATATCACGTGAATTTCTCCCTCGATGAAATTTCGCTGTACTTTCACTTGCAACCTGCCGAGATTTCCCCCCTCCCACTATTTCGCCCTGCCACGTGCTGGTGAATCTTCCGCTGCAAGTGGCCAGAAAGGTGCCACATGGCATTTTCGTGGGGGTGATGAAGTTCGCGGCCGAAACTCACATTCGCGCCTCAGACAGTGATGTTAAAACGACCAAGAAAACACCCACATTTTCTAATTTAAAAAACACTAACAGTAAAATATGCCATATGTAAGGACCCTGGTATTATGTAGCTTTTTCCTATGAGAAGACACCCCCCTTTTTTTCCTGTATTTTTACAAATACCCTAGGGTGTTATGTCCGGGAGAATACGGTACTTCAGGCCTACCATACCTTTTGTTGAATACTGGAAAAAAATATATTACTGGCTTAGCATAAAATGTTGAAACTGCAGAGGCTGAGGAGCCATGGCGTAACTAGCGTGAGAGATGAGAGAAGAGGTTTGCATTAGAAATCAAGGTTCAAGATAGAGTTGGCAAAGGGGGGTACATTACCAACAGAACACCTAGATGACACTACATTGACTGTCTAGTATGCAGTTATAGATAAATATCAATTCAACAAAAAGAATGAGTCTCCACCCTGCATCGCTACCACATCCCTCACCTGGTGGCTTCACACTGTATTGCGCACAGGTGCATAGTGGTTGTGTTAATCTGCTTTGTACGTTACTGTGAGGTTCAAAGGATCGAGTTCAGAAAATAATAATGATAATGGGTATAACTATGAGGCTATATATAGGCATGATACAAGGCACGTAACTCGGGCGAATTCATTAGAAGTAAATCGGCCGAAATCACAAGCACGGAAAGTTCCGCGGCAATAATCGAAAATTCCATAGAATGTAGTGCGTGCAACATAAACATATAAATATAGATTCAACATTAAATTAGTCTTCACCCTGCATCGCGACCGCATCCCTCACCTGGTGGCTTCACACTGTTATCGCGCACATGTGCATAGTTATTGTGTTGATCTGCTTTGTTTGTCACTTCGATCACGTCGGCGTCAATGTGGTCGCTTAGGATGTCGTGAATGCTATCGCGAGAGGCATCCAGATTTGGGTCTTCTTCTATGGGTGAGTGAAATGCAACACCTTTGTGATCGAGCTTGTAGTGCCTCATTTGGGCCGATGTTGGTTGGAATGAATGTCAGGGTGTTGAGCTCTTTTGTAGCAGTGATGAAAGGTGCCTCGCCTTCGATTTGATTTTCTGGCACTCGTTTTACCACGTGAATTTCGTCCTAATCACTTGCAAAGCTCTGCTCTTCCTGGAAGATGTTGTCTGGTGCTTGTTGTGCGGTGAGGTGATGACAGAAAGGTGGCAGCATGAGTCTTTTGCAGAAGATGCAGTCACGTGAAGGCGTGACTTGGTTGGTGGCAAAGTCGAGGATGGTCCATGCATGGTACTCCGGTTCGATGCCGAGGTGGATGCCCCACCTTGCGCAATCCTCAAATTTTCTCATGCAGGCAGTTGGAATGTCTCATGTGGGGAATGAGAGGCGGAATGCGAGTATTCTGATGGCGGTTAAAGAGGTAGAGAGAGTGGATCGTGGAAGGAGAGTAGATGACTGATTGAGAGGCCGCGAAGGCAGCTTGGATGGCGGAATGACTGGCGAAACGAGGGTATATGGCCACATGAGAGGCGAAATGAGGGTTTAGGGCCACATGATAGGCGAAACAAGGGTACATGGCCACATGAGAGGCGAAACGAGGGTACACGGCCAACCTGGGGTAGCGAAACGAGGGTACACTGCCGTATGAGAGGCTCAACGAAGGCTTTACGAGGAGCAGATTTAGGGTCTGAGAGATGGTGAAGAGAGGTGAGGTCAGAGAGGGAAACTAAGTGCTTAGGGAGGATGAAGGGAGATTAGGTTATTGGGGGGGGTGATGAGGAGGGGGAAGGGAGGTGAGGTCTTATGGGGAATGTAGGTGTGGGGAGGGGGATGGGAGGTGAGGTCATATGGGGAATGTAGGTGTGGGGAGGGGGATGGGAGGTGAGGTCATATGGGGAATGTAGGTATGGGGAGGGGGGTGTGGTGTTTCCTACTCTCTGCATTCTATTGGCATGACCTGCCCAACCCTTCTATTTAGAGGACCTGCATTATGTTATCTCATTCATTGGCCCGTAAACTTCCTCCTTTGTACACCTTCAGCGAAACCTGAGCAGAGCAAATACAACACTCCCCCCATGCATATCCATGGTCCTCCATGCATACCCTCCATTTTATCTGCGTCATAAATGCCCCTCTTTCTCCCCCTGCCATCATCAATCCTCCTGTCCAATCCACTGCCATCACCATCAGAATGCTTCCTCTCCATTGTTTTCCTGGTCACCTTTCGTCATCTCAGTGTTCCCCCTACCATCACCCCCCATCTCCCATTGCCATCAACTCTCATCCAACTTGCCATATCCTCTCATCCCCCCTTGCCATCATCATTCATCTCCCATTGCCATCACCTGGTATATTCCACTCTTCTCCCCCAGCCATCACCATTCATGTAATCAACGATCATTAACCCATTTCCCCCTTTCATCCCCTATCATCCCCCCATGCCATCACCTTGCCTCTCCCCTTGGCCATCTCTTCCTTTTCCCCGCTGTCCTCAGCTTCCTAATCCCTGGCAAAACATCCATTACCCCTCTCTAATCTCCCCACTTCCCCCATGCCCTATCTTCACTTCCCCCTCTGACCATCACCTTCATTCCCTCTCTGACATCACATTCCCTCCCTCTATGACCTCACCTCCATTCCCTCTCAAGAACCTCCCTCTTTTCCTCCTTTGAACTCACCTCCTTTCCCCTCCCCCGCTGAACTGAGGCCCCTTCCCCCGCTGAACTCACCTCCCTTCTCCCGCTAAACTCTCCTCCCTTCCCCCTCTAGCATAACCTCCCTTCCCCCTTAATCATAACATCCCTTCCCCCTGTAACATAACCTCCCTTCCCCTAATAGCATAATCTCCCTTCTCCTTCTAGCACAAACCTCCATTCCCCCACTGACCTCACCTTCCTTCCCCCAATAGCATAACCTCCCTTCCCCCTCTAGCACTTACCTCCATTCCCACTCTGACCTCACCTCCCTTCCCCCTCTAGCATAACCTCCCTTCCCCCTATATCATAACCTCCCTTCCCCCTTCATCATAACCTCCCTTCCCCCTATATAACCTTTCTTCCCCTTTTATCATAACCTCCCTTCCCCCTGTAACATAACCTCCCTTCCCCTAATAGCACAACCTCTCTTCCCCCTCTGGCACTAACCTCCATTCCCACTCTGACCTCACCTTCCTTCCCCCTCTATCATAACCTCCCTTCCTAAACCATAGCAACACCTCCCTCCCCCCAATATCATAACCTCCCTTCCCCCTCTAGCACTAACCTCCATTCCCCCACTGACCTAACCTCCCTCCCCCCAATAGCACAACCTCCTTTCCCCCTCTAGCACTAACTTTCCTTCCCCCCCTAGCACTTACCTCCCTTCCGCCACTGACTTCACCTCCCTCCCCCCCAATAGCGTAACCTCCTTTCTCACCATAGAAACACCTTCCTTCCCCCTCTGAACTCACCTCCCTTCCCCCACTAACCTCACCTCCCTTTCCCGTATAGCACAACCTCCCTTCCTACACCATAGCAACACCTCCCTTCCCCCTACAGCACAACCTCCCTTCCCCATTTTGCACTAATCTCCCTTTCCCCACTGACCTGACCTCCCTTCCAGTACTCGACACTCTCATCCCTCCATTGCGGGCAGTTCTCTTTTGTGCTTCCATCCCCTCTCAACCCCCCATTCCATCACCTTACCTCCACCCTTCACCATCTCCTCCCTTTCCCGCTGCCATCACCTCCCGCCCACTTTTCCCATCACATCTCACTCCCCTAATAGAGTGTGGCGAAGCTGAGGGTGGGGCAGGGGAGTGGTGGTGGCAACGTGTTGCCAAGCTGAGAGCAGGGCAGCAGACGTGCGGCGACAGCAGATTGTTGGGAAGCAGTTTGAAGTGACCCTATAACTACATACACCAGCCATGGCAATGTAACACGTGCGCGAGTGTGGTCCTCTAGCAGCATGGAGTACTCTACATAGCAACGAAATCTGTGATTTTTAGCGACAATCGGATGCCCGTCTACATCCTCTGTCGTGTTCTTCCCAAGACAGATACGCAGGACACTCTCAACAGTAGCCCTCTCGCCAGCCTCGTCACGATCCTCATCAAACCAAGAAGATACATGGCCCACTGTAAAAGAACACGGTGTTGCTTT